CTCAGCTTTATGTTGCTGAGATTGCAAACAAATGAATGAATTCAAAATAATAAAATGACAATTGCCAGAAAACACATGGTTTTTGCGCAACACATAAACATATGTTTTATTCTAATCTGTGTTCTCCAAATAACTTACTTTACCACAGACTATAAACGTACGACTTCGTCGCACTCCTCCACAACCGGAGTTCTGGAACGCGTTTCCCTTTTGACATTCCCTAATAAACCCGACTCGTACTGGCAAGAATAATAATTATGTTGTGGCTCGGGTTTGTGCAGGTGAGGGGAAGGATGGGGTGAATGAAACAAGACACTCCCAGTCATCGCTGTAGAGAAGGTGGATCCGGTGGAATGTAATTATATGCGGGCGTCTGGCTTGGTGGTTTTACATATGACAACTATAAGACCTGTATGTAGTTCTCCTGCGCGCCTGTTTCAACAGAGTTCGTGCAACCATCTGAAGTCCACGTTAGTCAATTGCTCTTATAAAACTGAGCAGTCTTCGGAAATATCGGGCATGGACAAGGTAGGCTATATCACAAAAATGCAGTTAATTCTGTCGAATCAGCAAAAATTCAGAAAGAAAGAAAAGGAAGAAGTATCGTACAGATAGGATGAAAACACAACTGACGCACTGCTTGAAAAAAATTAAGGCGGTTGGTTGAATAGGCGAAAACAACGTACAGCGCTTCCGAACCGTGGGCAAGCATATGCCTCAGTTATATGCTCTCCGAAGATCCACAATGATGGCACATTAGTTTCATCCAATCCTCTAAAAATTTGCTATCTAACTTTGTGCTTTCATTGTCGACAATCGACAAGATAAATGCATGCCAGCGAATGCCCTAAAGAAATTGATATTGAGGTACACCTTTAACATGCAGTTCCTATTTGACAACAATCTATATAGACATATGGACGGCGTGGACATGGGCTAGCCGCTTGGCCCGACTTTGGCGAATATATTCAAAGGAAAGCTTGAGGCTTCCAGCTACGTTGATGAACGATATCGAAACAACTCTGATCCTGCAGAAGGTAGCTGAACAACCCCGCGAACAGAGAATCACACGCGACGAATAACCGGACAAGAAATTCCGAAAGCTGCCCAGTACAACGTTGCCCAGGAACGACAAACGGGTGCACAACCTGTCATCAAAGGAGCTGACAAAGGATCAGATGCAGGTTTTACGGCACGAAGTTTCATTTAACACGGTTGACGTCAAACCTGTTAACATGATTGCAGCAGTGAAATCAATCCTTAGTCAGACGGGCGCAACGGAGGAGACTAAGAGCCGCATCCGAAACAAAGTGTCGTCTCTCCTAATGGACCATTGGCCGCGGGAAGTGTATCCCAAGGTCGACCATGATGCGCTTAGAGAAAGTAAGGCCGACAAACACCTGGTCATCGTGCCATCTGACAAGGGATTCTCCACGGTTGTACTGGACAGGGCAGATTACATTCAAAAAACCAAAGGTTTACTGGAGAACCGACAGTTCAATGTCCCATGTGCAACGACCTCTTTAAAGGCGCTCACATGCAAAATTAATGCTACGTTGTTGGCCTTGGAGAACTCAAGTACAATAAAACTGACCGACAGACGCATGGCGAGACCCCAGGATACGGCTTTGGCCCCATATTTTGGCCTCCCTGAGGTGTACAAAGACGCCGCTCCTCTCCGACCCATCGGGCCCTTCGTAGGTACTCCAACGTCCGAACTGGCTAAGTGGCTTTTCTGGCGTCCCCATTTCGTGACTGTTGCGTCAGACACCACGGCCTCATCATTAGTACAATTTCTGGTGAGACTCAAAGGGTTAAGCCTCCATCCAAATTGGGTCATGGAATCTTTTGATGCTATATCGCTTTTTATTTCTATTCTCCATGACCTGGCGATTGAGAAAAACGAGCTGCTTTTACGAAGCAAATACAATGAATCGGAGGATCGTCTGGGACACGCCATAATCCTTTAGCTCCTGAACCTCTGTCTGAGGACGTACCTTATGTTGGACATGACAATCTACGAACAGGTGAAGTGCACACCAATGTGTTCGCCGATTTTGGGATTTATCGCCGTGCCTGTCCTGAAACGGTTGGAATCGTTGGTCTTCAAACCCCACAGACCAAATGCTGGCTTCGGTGTGCGGATGATGCTTTAATCGTTATCGACCGGGTTTAAAAGCTTAACGGGAGGCAACAATCAAGCGTCTAGCAATGAAACCGAAAGACCAACTGCCACGGCAAGAATCGTCGGGTGTCGTTTGTCAGATCTGATGCACTTGCGGACAAAGCAACTAGGCCACATAAACCGAAAGACTGTTTCGAACGCGAATGGCCGAACAAGCTGCAGTGGTGAGGAGAAGTGACGCCAGCTCTCAAGTTGCACCTCATTCGACGAGATCCGTCCACACATTCAAATCTGGCGAGTCCGAAGTTCTCGCAAGATTCGAAAACCGCGTGAACCGGGGACTGTTTGAGTCATTGTTTACTAGCGCCAAGTCAATTAACAAGGGCAATGGTTTACTAGCGCCCAGTCCATTAACAAGTAAAACGTGCAACCGAACAACTTACATTTTAGATATCACGACGTAATCGCGTAATGTGATCCCTCTGTTCTATGTGGCATAAGAGTAACACTAAGAACAGCTCCGTATCTGCGCCTTTTACGGCTTCCTTAGAATCTCTGTCAGCCCTCTCGTCACGGCTAGCATTCCTAAAAAAACATTTAATCAGAATAAGCCGTATTTCGTTGTTAGATAACGCAACGATTACAAAAACCGCAGTGACATTCATTCAGTCATCCCTTGCCGTTAATGATTTTTCCTAATGATCCGAAAATGGGCAAATTTATTATCTGCTTGTATGTTACCGCACGTCACACTTTTAAGTGGAAAAATGCGGTCAATGACTTTTATATGGAATGCAATACTACATTTTATGGTATCAGCGTAGTTGACACACATTTGAATTTATATGAAAGTATTGGGATTTGGGTATTCAAATTTATCTCTCTCTCTTGCATTAGCGAGTACAACACGTGCCGCAACAATGCTCATTTTTCTATGTGGCCATGGAAATCCTCGTGTACCGGTTGGACTTTGAATCTTGTTCGGTAACCCAGCGACATGGTGAGTGACAAAGATGATTTGACGTTGACTAAAGACATCATGAATTGCACGCATGGATGCTTGCGCATTGTGATGATTTCTCCATCGCATATGCCTACATCAGAGTGCGGGAGATATTTGAATTCCGGTCTGCTGGATGGACTATAACGAATTTTCTGCAAACAAATTACAGTCATGCTGCTAGCGGTGATTAAATGTCAATTGACTATGTGGCGTTGAGGGAATAAAACTGCTTATGAATGAGTTCTACTGCACAAGGTCAGATGGGTGCGGAACTGAGCGGGCAGAAGGGTGTAGCATTGGCGATACTATGCCAACAACGTTGAATAACGACCCTCGATTTTGAGAAGGTCTATAGGTATTTGTACACACTAAATGGGTGGAACTGGGTGGTAGTGAATGCGTGAGCACATACTGCATCTACGACAGACGGAATGAGATGCACTTTATCGATGCGCATAAACGATTGCGTCTACATTCGACTCTACTACAATAAGGGGGTTAGCTTGCAACATCTTGAATACATATATTGCATTCATACGCTGTGCAGTCACTCCTTGACGAATGACGGATGAAAAATTGGGAAAATGAAATAGATCGTTGCAAGTGACGTCACTACACACTGGCTGCTCTATCTTGCGCTAGGTACAATCCGCGTTGGTCGAATCGGGTGGGGAATTTATGTGTGTGATCGCGTCTTGCGACACCCATTGGGAGCAGAGAACGTTATTGCCTGGACTGCGCCTACGGCAGAAATCGTACATCACCCTTTTTCGCCAACTTAAAACTTCAGCATTTTACAGATACAATGGGAATTGACTGTACTTAGATATGCGGAATCTGCTGTTTGTGTATGCTGGCATACAGGCAAGCCTTAGTAGTCGCGGTTATGTGAACATCTAACTTCTTGCCTAATCTCCGCAGACGGTCCCTTGCCCCACTATTGCATCTGCCATTAATACGATGCTGATTCAAAAATGTACTCTCCTATCATCCCATTGCACTTTTTAGGTGTCCGGAATATCAATTTCGTTAGTGCTATTTCCACGCAGAGTAAACGACTACTTACTTATGCGATTACTTTAGATTTCGTTTTGTTCTTTTGCAGCGCAGTCTGTGGGCCATGGGTGTTGACAGTGTATACATGATTTTTAAGCCAGTCTATCACATAATTTGCCAATTTTCAATGATTGTATTCGGACCAACGCATAATGTGTTACCTCCTGCAGAAAAGAAAATTTAAATAATTTCCATCAAGTAATATGCGTGCTCGCGGTTGCTTTTAAATTTGAAACATTACTCCCCTCTTCAGGTAAAGACCATATGCACTGAAGCATTTACCCACTCAAGATTTGCAGCGGCACACAATCTTGTAGTGTTATTTTACATTATATTATTGATCATTCTCCATTTCGCATCGAACAAATATACATGTCTCAAAATAACACACGCGAAACACACAACTAATCGAATACTCCAACATTTACGCAATTCATTAATTTTTCAGATTCGGGCTATTAACGAATATGTGCTAATTTTAGATTCTCTAGAAGCAGTCTGTATGTGGAAAATGCTTGACCGCCTAACGTGATGACCACACGGGGATCCGCATGGCCTACAGGAGGGACGGTCACCTCCTGAATCAGCGGCGGATAAACTTCCATTCCACCGTTCACGAAATTCTCGTCGCCGACGACTGCGCCCTGAACACCACCTCTGAAGTAGAGATGCAAAGCAGCGTGCACCTGTTCTTCGCCGCCTGCAAAAAACTTCGGTCTCGTCATCAACCCGCAGAAGACGGTGGTCATGCATCAACCGCTATCCAATACAGCCACTCCTCACAACGCGCCGCAAATCAGCGTGAACGGAACCCACATGCAAATGGTGGAGAACTTCCCGTACCTGGGCAGCACACTCTCCTTTAACACCAACATCGATGCCGAAGTCACTCGCGGGATTTCAATATCCAGTAAAGGTTTTGGCCGCCTCCAAAGCACCGTTTGGAATCGTCACGGTCTGCAACTGAGCACGGAGCTGAAGATGTACAATGTCGAAACTGTTGTACGGAGCGGAGACAGTGTACACAAAGCAGGCACGTCTCAGTTGTTTCCGTCGCATCCTTAAGGCTGAACTGGCAGGATCGAATCCCCGACACTGATGTTGCGGAACGGACGGAAATCCTCGGCAACGACACTGCGCCGAGACAAACGCAGCTGCGTTGGAGCGGTTACCTGGCGGTCATGAACGACGAGCGACTACACAAACGACTCTTCTACGGAGACGTCGAGACGGCTTCTCGCCGCCAAGAAGGCCAAATTCGCCGTTATAAGGACACTCTGAAGTCCTACATGAAGCGCCTGCAAATCAACACGACCAACTAGAAAGAGCTCGCACACGATCGACCGACCTGAAGGAGAGCAGTGATGACATGCGCTGCGATCTATGAGGCCAACCGAATCGTCGTTACCAAAGTGGAACGCGAAGCACGCAAATCACAGCTACGTCCCGTCCGCAACGCCGACGCACAACCGCTGCTAACGTCTCCTCGGTGTCAAAGGGCTTATTTGTGTGTGTGTGTGTCTGTGTGTGTGTGTTGTGTGGAGTGGCAGAATGGTGGGCTGAGGACGTGGCTTGGAAGTTTACTAACTGACGGGGTAACTTGGACCTCCTCCTTGACCGGAGGCTTTATGCCCTGTCAAAAATTCACAAAGGTGAGTAAGAAAACCCACTTGCTGCCTCTCTACTTGCAGCCCTGGCAATGCATGGTGCGGCATATGGTGTGTTTATCCCTGAAAGCTGGCAAAGCAGCTAGGCATCCATTACAAATATTTAGCAAAAACAATACCCCATATTTACCATTAGCGTATATTTAAAGATATCAAAACACAAACAGGAGTTATACCATAGGGCATTTTCAATACATTGCTGATGTTATGATAACTGGCAATAGGCAGAGTAGGAGTTTCCAAGGCTTTAGATGCTGCGCTCCGCTGAAGGCAACACGAATTACTGTGGGCAACAAATCTGGAACATCACTTGGAACCAGTCTTATAAGCGCGCAGTCCGAATTGGAATCCATAAGTTTGTACTCCATCATTGTAGTCCCATGTCGTCCGGTCAGGACAAGAGTAGGCATTCCTTTAAAGACCGGGTCGACTGTTGGTTATTTGAATAAACATTATTTGTTAGATTTGGTGTTGAAATGGCACGTACACAGTGTTAGCATCGAAGCCAAAGAAATATATTTCAGTTAGCTTAAGTATAACAAATTTGCGAACATTAATTGCTTTTCTCAGCTTTACAATGTTGATCCGACTATCCGTTTAAAACACAAGAATGTACAAGTCGGTGCTGTTGTCGACGGTTGTCCACGGTACATCGAAGTCTTACCTAGTCCCTTATCCGCTTTCGATTTCACTTAAACAAATTATTTCATATATGAATTAGATGCCTAAAATGTTTGTAATTGTCATAAGATTGTCGTTCAGAATTGTGTTTTATGTACTGATAAGTGCCAAATGATGTGTCCGTGTCATATTTCATCAAATTATTAATAATAATTAAAACAGTAAATCTCAACTGCACTTTAGTGCATAACGAATATATAATAAAGTAGTACAGTCCCAACTCACGATATGGGGCCAGGTAGACGTATCCACTATCAGGCGTCAGATCATCGGATAAAAACGCTATCTTTCCGCTAAGTATTGTGTCCTGAAATACAAATAATGTAGAAGATTTGGCGTAATAAAATGTATTGTGAAAGCGAAATGTAACCTGAGGACTACAATCTAATGTTCCTATGTTAACTAATTTAACGCACCTTAACTCTGTCAGCAAACCAAATATGTACTGAGTTCTGAACTGTCGTATCAATTTCAATCCTTTCAGTCACGCCAACGCCTACTGGGATCGACGGGTCTGTGAGAAAACGTTTTAATTGGTTTTCACATTGCACAGGCGAACAATATGAATTCCAAATGTTAAATAATGCATTATTGTCAGCTCATGCAATATCAGAATGCACGTCAAGCAAATGATCTCGTCACAGAAAAATTAACATAAGCGCGTAGTACGCCATTTGGTCTAAAAAAAACTTCCGCTGAAGGCCTTTATAGGCTTACATTCATGCAATACTGACTCAACATTTAAAGTCTGCTTCTCAGTATAGAGGGCTAAGTTTAAAGTATGTAGATAGAAAGTATACATAATTAATAATAGTCATAATTATTATTCCGAAAATTGTGCAGTTTTCTACATGCTAAACTAAATTTCTACGCCATGATAACTTGCGCAAAGAATGTGCCTAACGCAAAATATATTACCAAAGTTCGGTTGCATAAAGGTAAGTATAGAACAACATATTTCCCAACGACATAAATAATGTTCAAGTGAATAACATGGATGTCTACCAGCTGAAGCGTCGCCTTTATTCTGGACAATTATTGCTGTTGGAGATTTAGTTTTATCGACGGGATAGGCGACGATGATTCCTTTTCCAACTTTACGATATCCCTCGAGTAATGCCCACTCTCTGTCTGAAAAGCGGCAGTGGAAATCGTCTTTGAAACCGAATAAATAAAATATCAAGAAAGGCAAAACATAAACGGCTATATGAAAAAGGCCACTTTAAAGGTTTATATCTAGGATACCATTAATAAATGCTTTAGGGGCCTTAGGAAGGTGAACCATTAAAAGGAAGATGTTCACCTGTTAATGACTGATAACACGACTCCCCCATTTCACAGGGTTTTGAGACAGATCCCTCTCGAATTGCCACACCCCCAAGGAAGACCGACTGCATTATAATAAAACGTTACATTACGTATTAAAATAATTATAAACGTACAAATTCAAAATAGTGCGCGGCTTACTTGCGGTTTCGGTATGGTAGTAGAAGGCAAAGTGAAGGCAGTGTTTGGCGCTAATTTATAAACGAAGGCAATTTGTTCTGCAATTAAAACAATGTGATTCAGATTAGAGAGTCATCACATTCGTTTATTGTTGACCTTAATCAGAATACAGACAAGAAAGCGGAATTGGCGACGATGGTTCCCATTTCACCATTTTAATATCCGGTGAATATTGCATGATCCATGTCGCTAAAGCACCAAAGGGAATCCGACTGGCAACGGAACACATTAAGAAATAAACAAACGCATAATATAAACAGTGAATTAAGAGCAATGACTTTTTAAAAAGTTTTCGACTAGTGAAACGTGAAGAAATACCCCAAATGTCTTCAGACGTCGAAACATTAGAAATAAGGTGTTCGCTTGTTAATAACTGATAAAATGGCTCACCTGTTTTACACGACGTGGATTTCGGTCCCTCTTGAAGTACCGCATTTCCATGCAAGACCGACTGCAATATAATGCAGTGTCAGATTACGCAGGAAGATAATTATCATCGAAAAAATGCAAAAGAATTTACGACCTACTTGCAGCTGCTGTATGCCAATAAAAGGCAAAGTGATGTTTGAGTTCGACGTTAAATGCAAAACGGACACATCGGCGCCTGTAATTTGAGTTCAGAGAGGTAACTTATACGTATATTTGCCGACCTTAATAAGAGATCACAAACCAAATAGTAGGACATTATTTTAACATTTAACCTACCGAGCACACAGGCAAAGAGTGCAGGAAGAATACTGGCGATGAACATGCTTACTAAAACCAAATCAATCAGGAAATAAGTCAAGAAGGTATATTTAAGAATGGGTTAAACTGTGCTGATATTCTCAGTGTAGTTTACGGTTGCCACTTACTTTGTAATGCAAACGGTGCAGGTGCAGGCGAATTCTCCGTGTATTTATATGTGCATGTGCGTCATAAGAGATGTGTGACCTACGGCAATCGAGGAATAGAAACCAAGGCAACGTTTTGACGTTTGTGTATGCACAGCTTTCTAATTGATCATTTCAGAGGTTTGAGTACAATGTGTCTCAAAATAGAGGAAAATGCGAATATCAGAGTATCGGCCTAACCGTTCGCTAATTTCGGGTGCGCGATCAATCCGGTTGACCAGTAAAAAATATTACGGTATTTGAGGAACATTCTCATAAAGAAAATAAACGAATTCAACTAGTCTTTTGCCGACGTCTACTGCAACTGCCTACAGAGTCTTTGTGTACGCACTTCCAGAACTGTAAATGTTGTCCAAATTACTCCGTCTTCCCTGACCTTTGATTGGGAATCTTCGTCTTGTCGGCAACACCGCCTTCCAGAATTCGTGAATCCCTTACGAACACCAATCTTCCCTCTTGCTAATCTCCGATAAAGTCAGGCGTTGATCACGGACAATTTTCCACCGGAAGTGCAGTATACTTTTCCGCCCGTTTTCAGCATTCTTCCGGCCACGCAACTTACTCGGATGTCCGATCGGCCTATGGAGATGAACAGTCTTTTCAAGCCATCTATTTCAGCACTCTCAACGCCCTTAACACACCCTGCGTCTTCCTTTTCGCTGTTGGTAATCGAGCTAAGCACGCTCGCCGATGATATAGCTTCTTGAAGAAACATACATGGTCGCTGGAGCAAGGGCTTTATTAGTCTGACGTTTCGGATTACCACTCGAAACTACCATTAGAGTCAAAAGCATATACGGGTGGTTCATGCACAAGAGGCTGCAATATTTATCGGATGCAGTCGCCATGCTATAACATACGTATGAATATTCACGGGTGAGTCTGTGACGGCTTGGCGTACTGTACTTTGTCAACACCTCTATATCAGTTCCGTCTTCCCTGACTCTTCTCATTGTCGACTACTTTACCTTTCACAATTGGTGACTCCCTTACGAACAGCAATCTTATTTCTTCCTAATCTAATATAAAGTCAGGCGTTGATGGCAGATTAACTGGTTTAATTTTTTACCCATCAATGCTTATTGAATCATAGTTATGCGCCCAAATATAAGGACGTTGTATTTTTTCGAGAAGATCAAACGGAACCAGGCGTTATAAAATCTATTGATGTTTACATGAGAAGGAGTACGGCAACGAACTTTAAATCCCCTTATGACATCTTCTGATGACCTAGAGCTCAGTGATGATGAGGAAAAGCATACAGTCTGCCTCAATCGCTACGTCTATCTTTGCGAGGGAAAAACGAATCAAATATTTCCTACTGCTACAGAAAGAGGTGCACAATGATGGAGACCATTTTTTGCCAAAAGCTCTGATTGCAAAGGCATGTTGATGATGAATGTTTCACAATCTAGATCAAATTTAGTGGAGCAAATTCACTCAAACAGGCATTAGGAATAATATCCTGATGTGAAATCAAAGGCTATTCATCGGCCATTACTACACTTTCGACGAAAACTTCTTTGCTGCTTCTACAGATTGAATTCCCTGAATATGCGTAAAATACGTACATCT